GTCCCTGGGTTGGTTGGCTGCAGTTTACAAACGGAGATTTTGTATCCGTGACAGTTTGTATACATTTTATTCTGTGCATCCCATTTATACTATTTAATCATTAGCGCTAAACAGGTTCTGGTGTTGCACACATAACTATTATTTTGTGCTTTACTGGTATTTTAAATGTAATCAGGTTATTACTGGATGACCTTGGTAGCTTAACCGGTTTATTCATACGCCGATCTCAGTCGGATTATTGCGTTTACATGGCATTTGAGTTACTGGCCATACACCGATCATAAACTTAATTGTATTCAGTTTACACTTACCGCAGGTAAATCTAAAAATCCACAGGAAGAAGTTCGCCGTGCAGAAACTCTTTACTTTCTTCAGTCAGCAGAAAACGAAGCTCATGCACAAAAGTTGCTCAGTAAATGAAATTATTGTACGACTTCCCAATCTTTTATTAGCGGCGATCAAATTCCGAGGGGAATGTCACGTCCAATCAAATTAGTGGGTGGGAGCTAGAGAATGCTGCATGCCTAACAGGTAGTCTACGGTCAAATTCTGCCAGACGATTGGCCGTCTACAGTCGGCTAAGCCAATCAGATGGCCGAACTGTCTATACAGTCCGTCTACAGTGACTGTAGACTTTGCACTATCGTAGACTCGAGGCAATTGATCCCGAACGTCATTGGAGGAAAATCCGTGTGCACTGATTGGCAGAGGTGTACTATGGGAAAAGTTAAAATAACGTAAGTCATATTAAGATTTCGTTGGTGTTGTTAACAGCTTTAGCCATCAGCATTTTTGGTATAGTGTGTTTTAATTGTTCAAGCAATTGTCTTTGTTTACAGAGGCGATGACTGTTGCTCGCCATGATGGTGAAAAGCAGGACCCTAAGTACATCTGCTTAATCATGTGACTTCTTTTAATCTCATTAAAGCACAAGTAAATCATGTAGTTCATGGCATTTATGACGGTTGTAATGTTTAAGTGTATTTGCATAATCAAATTATATGTCATTCAAGTTATTTGATCATTTTTAAATTATATTTGTACAAGCAAATGCTGTCTAATTTGCTACGTGACAATGTTACTGTATCAGTGAATCAATCTATGAAACAAATTATTCAAAGTATATGTGTGTAATGCTTTGTCTTTTTTCTAAATGTCATTTACATTAGTCATTATAAAGGTTCTTGTTACTATTGGCGGACAGATTTAAGATAGATTGACCTTTCTCTTGCAACATGTAGAAAAGTATCATATTGTCCTTACCTCACATACTACATAGCATTTTTTGATAAATAATACTTTTTAATTGTTGCATTAAATAATTGACATTCCACAACTTGCTCATACGATAGCATTATGTATAGATGTAAAAAAAAAAAGCGCACATAGCACTATTCTTTATTAAAAACAAAAATCCATTAAAAATGAAAACCATTTACAATCTGTCAAAAAAAATGCAGCTGTTTACCTTTACAATAAATTGACAACACTACGACACTACAGTTAAGGCAATTAACAAAAAACACTGAACATGGTTTAAAAACAATGTTCTAAAAACTATTTACATTTGGCAATCCCCAAAGGGAGAAGCTGAAAAGATGAAGAGGAGCTACACCTCATTCCTACAAGTTATCTACAACAGAGGTAAAGTGTTCGTAGCTAGCTTACACTCTATTGCTCAGACCTTTAGATGGAGACATCATTTTTACCAGGCAGAAACCTTTTTTTTGTTGTTGTACCTTTTGTGTCCCTGGGTTGGTTGGCCGCAGAGTGTACAAACAGGGAGATTTTGTATCCGTGACAGTTTCTCTCCAACACCTGAGGGGGCTTCCTTCAGTTTACGCTTGTACTGCGTAGCTCTCTCCCAGGCTGAAGGACTGCCAGTGCTGTGGCATGTGCTTACAGTCTTAGAAGCAGGCATCATGGGCACAGATGGACAGACTGATGTGGGCAGACCAACAGTCACAGGAGCTGACTGACTGGCGAGCATTATGGGCCGTGTGGAGGGGCCAGCAATCACAGGGGCTGCTGCAGATGCAGAGAGGGAGGTCACAGGTCTGGGGATGGTAGAAGTGGGTGGGGTTTTTCTCAGCGATGCTGACTGTGGCATTATTCTAGAGATATAAATGAAAAAAATCCAGATATATACAGTAAAACCTATTGCGAGCATAATTTGTTCTGGAAACGTGCTCTAATCCAAAGCACTCGTATATCGAAGGAAATTTTCCCATTAGAAGTAATGGAAACTCAGATGATTTGTTCCACAACCCAAAAATATTCATAAAAAACGATTAATTCAAAATATAAAGTAAAAATACATAAAACAAATTA